ATATGTACATTTAACTTTTTCGGCCTCTTATTGCTACCTGTCCCAACTTTTTTGGAATGTGTAGCTCTCATGAAATCCAAAATGAGCCAATATTTGGCATGACATTTCAAAATGTCTCACTTTCAACATTTGATATGTTATCTATATTCTATTGTGAATAAAATATAAGTTTATGAGATTTGTAAATTATTCCATTCCTTTTTTACTCACAATTTGTACAGTGTCCCAACTTTTTTGGAACTGGGTTTGTACAACACCTTATACTGCTCATCTGTGGTTCAACTATAGAACATCTAGTTTACAGAAGCTGCAAGTAGCTTATAATGATGCAATGAGAATTTTACTAAAGAGACCTAGATGGCATAGTGCAAGTGAAATGTTTGTGAGTGCAAGAGTAATCACTTTTAAAGCACTGTTACGAAATCTTATGTATAGATTTATCTACCATGCATTGTTCATGGTTTAGCATTTGCTTTCTAATGTGCACTGGCTGACAAAAAACACATCAATCCACTCACCAAACCGTCTGTCCTCTGTAGTGTAATGAGAAACAAATTATTTGTTACAAATAACCATGCTTGTTAATTGCAGCGTGTGAGTGAGGCAATGACTCCTGAGCGTCCCCGTCAGGCAGTAGCTGTGTTGTGCCGAATTGTCTGCCTCCAGGTGCTAATGGCATACAGTGTTCCCTCAGAGTTTGTGCATGAGTTTGTGTGCCAAATGAACCTCTGTACTGCAAATAATTGGTTTACAGTTACATTCAGACAGTAGTTCAGTTTGATGTCAGCTTTTGTTTGCTAGCATCAGTTGTTCGTTTGCAGAGGCGGACAGTAACTAAGTACATTTACTTGAGTATTGTACTTAAGTACACTTTTTGAGTATCGGTACTTTACTTGAGTATTATTTCTTCTGGGAATTTATAACTTTAACTTCACTACATTTGAAAGACAAATATTGTACTTTCACTCAACTACATTTCTATCAAGGTCCTCGTAGAAAGTCGTTACTATGTAGCAGCTTTGAAAGTCAGTAGGTGATTGTTTTCTTCTCTAAAACGTGACTCTCTGTGTGTGACAGCAAAGTACCACGAGAGCGATTAGACAGCATTTTTTTTTTATTTTGTTTTGATGTCAAATAAATCTTGCTGTTTTGCTTTTTTGTTAAAGCAGTGTTGCTGTTGTAAAGTTATACAGCTACAGTTGTGTTGCTGGGTTTTAAAGCAGGTTTGATTTCTTTTCTTCCTTATCACTCTGTATTTACAGGATTTCACTGTCCACTCTGTTCAAATGTGGTTGAATGGCTACACACAGTCAGAGCTGTGTGAGATCACTACCATCCAGATTTTGTGGGGCTGGGTAGGGGTGTTAATTTTTTTTCCCCATAGGTTTTTAACATTCTAAACTACAAGCTAGTCAGTGTATTCAGTAGGTGTAATGTATTCTAAATTGTTTCAGAAGTATTGCAAGTATTATGTACAACAATAAAACAGTGCATTGACATAAAAAAGGAAATTTACTTTTGGTACTTGAGTACTTTTAAAAGCAAGTACTTCTGTACTTTTACTTAAGTAAAAATCTGTCTTTACAACTTTTACTTGTAATGGAGTAATGTTTGACCAGCAGTAACTGTACTTTCACTCAAGTAATAGAGTTGAGTACTTTGTCCACCTCTGTTCGTTTGTTTGTTTGTTTGTTTGTTTGAGCTTGCATGTCCCATGAACTTGCAAATGGTACAACTTTTACTTGTAATGGAGTAATGTTTGACCAGCAGTATCTGTACTTTCACTCAAGTAATAGAGTTGAGTACTTTGTCCACCTCTGTTCGTTTGTTTGTTTGTTTGTTTGAGCTTTCAGCTGAACCATTTGCTGGTCCAATATGCTCATATATCAAGCAAGACATGTCTTTATATGCAGGTTTCAAAAGATCTACCATACAACCCCAAAAGGCAATGGGTAAAGTCCATGTGATGTGTATAGTTTCTTCAAATCAATATCAAAGTCTCATGATTCTGCAACTGTGTCTGAATTGAAAATTAATATCCATATTTTCCATCTTCCTTATTTTCATTTGATCAAGGTCATTTAAACAATCTTTTTCAAGCATGTAACAATTTAACAGCCTTTTAGAACGAAATATCTGAGATGTTGTTCTTCAAGCCTTAAAATCAGCTAGGAAATAAACAACAAATAATATAAAATTGGATGCATGCAAAATACGGCTAAAACCAGATTTAAAATAAATTACTAATGTGATCTTTTTTTATTTAATATTTTTTATAAATAATATTGCACATTATGTTTGGATAAGAAATTTTTTAAGTCTGCCTCACCATTAAAAGGACTGTTGCTTCATAATATTAATACATTTTATAGAATACAGCTTCACTTTTTTTGGAATTATTTTTACCAACAAGTTTTTCAGGCAGCCAACTTTCAAACCCTTTTTTGGAAAACTAAGCATTTCACAAAAACTGCATCAGCAATTATAATAAACATTTCTAAAAAATGTGTGAAAATTATAACTGTACAGTTACTAATCAATTTTTTTTCAAACTTTGTGCCTCGATGTTTGAGCAGCTGAAGAGGAGGTGTCATTAAGAGCACTGTATGATGCAGGTTTGACGTTTATAGGGATGTTTACCAGAGCTTTGCCACTCTTAGCTTCTGTTCTCTCTGCCAATCGTGGCTTCCAAAGGCATTAAACAGGTGTGTCACAATCAAAAGTATGAATTCAGGAGTGGACTGTTACTTGGTTGCTTTTAGTTTATTTGCATGGCTTTTTCCCCCCCCTCAAATGTGTCTAAACTTCTCCAACTATGTCCACAGGAGAAGTTTAACAGCAATGAAGAGGCCCTTCCAGAGGCTGACGTCCTATACGTGACCAGAATACAGAAGGAGCGATTCGCCTCTGAAGAAGGGTACAAAGCAGTGAGAGATATGGCTGAGGAGATCGTTGCATCTGCTTTTATGTCTGAAATGTCTCTTTTTAACAGTGTTTCGGCCAGTTCATCCTCACACTACATATCATGACGGGAGCCAAAAGGAAGATGGTGGTCATGCATCCTCTTCCCAGAGTCAATGAGATCAGGTTTGCTATTCTTAATTCAAAGCATCAGGATAAAATCACATTTTAAGCAGGCAAAATAGGAAGTTACATAAACGAGTGCTGAATACAGTTTTGTTTGCAGTCTTTCATAATCCTATTTTGTTTTCAGTGTGGAAGTGGACACAGATCCTCGGGCTGCTCACTTCCGGCAGGCGGCCAACGGGATGTATATTCGCATGGCACTGCTGGCTACTGTGCTGGGTCGGTGGGGACCATCATAGTCTTGGACATTTGGCAGTAAAGGGAAATGTTTTGTTAGCAACATTCTGATTCCATGACTGGTGTTTATTCTGTGTGCTGTCCATATAGTTCCAGTTGGTGAGATTTTGTGAGATAAAGTACCCAGATTGTTTGTTCCTTTCAGTACTGACTGCAATAAAATTCCATATATTGAGTATTTGATTTAAAACACAAACATTAAAGCAACCACAGTGCAGTGTGGTTAAACTAGATTCATCCTGAATATCTTAGATAATTACATTAATGTAGCACTTGAAAATAGAAGGTTGTTCAGTTTCTTCATTTCACTACAAAATCAGCTAAATTTAGCAAACAGTTATACAATAAACAATTGTATTACTACATCTCAGACTGGTATAGTATAAATGTAAATGCTTTTTTGATGTGCATTTATAACAATATAGACATCTTTACATGTGATCATGTTCACTTGGACATTCCAGTAGGGGACTAGACTTTTGTAACTCAATCAACTTTGTGCAAATACTAGTGTAGATACAGTATGGTAGGAAGATTGTTCTTCATTACTGAGTAAAACTTTTGTAATTGTATTTTTAGACAATAAAAAATGCAATCTCAGATCTTTCTCTGATCTTCCATATCTCTGTTGTTCTACTGCAATGTACTGGTACAAATGAAGGGAGAGAATATCAATATAAACACCTGAACTGTTCGTAGACAGTAAAATTTAATAAATTAACTTGTCTTTTAAACTAATAATGCTTTGAAGTTAAGTTGTCCTGTAGCAATTAAAATGCATTAAGTGCAAGTACACAAAACAAATGGGTAGCCTATGGGTTGCTTTATAGACTGGCAGGATATTGTGTGCTTGCGTTTGCATCTTGTCTAAAGGTAAACCCGTTTATATTGAAAATAAATCGTTTTCATTACAAAATTTTAAATTGGCAGTTGAGTACAATAATTATTTGTATCATTTTGAGTACATTTGTGTAAAATAATAATAATTGTGCCTACAAATTTACGTCATTACTGAACTCAGAGCTCCAGACTTTTAGTTTGAAAAACTGAAACTACATAAAGCCTGATTATTTTTCACATTAATTTACTCAGGATAATTGTAAATCATAAATTCATCGCTTGCTTCTTATGTGCGGTGCGTTTAATGTGTCTTCTTGCCTTGACTGTTAAAAAGGTTATATTAGCCATTTATTCATGATAGAATCGGTCCTGGAATCATTTGCGTAGATCAAAGTCAAAGCATCGATTACGCCCAATGGAATTCTACAGTCACAATCCATAAATCGAGAGTCGATTCCGCTAAAGCTTCGACGCCAATGAATCAATCGTGCACCTGCGCACCCTCTTTCAAAAGGAGTCGAACATGTTGGAGACTCGGTTTAAAGAGTCGACTCCAATAATCAAACGCGTCCTCGGAGCGCTCTACGCTTTACAAGGGAGGACATGCGATAGCAATGAGGAGCTGTACATAGGATATCTAAAGAACCATTCGGCTGAGTCCTCTATGATTCAGCCACAATTGACTATATCGTATTACCACCCAGTTCAAGGTGAGTTTTAATCGACTATGCTTAAATTTGCGGCCCAAATTCAACCGAAATCTCCTATTGTGGCTATGCGGGCTAATGCTAACTGCCTAGTCAGCCTTTTGCTTCATCGATAAAAGTGATTGCAAATTCTTAATGAACTCGTAAACCAGTCAACATCGTGTGTGAATTTCATAATAGGTTTTAATGAATGTAAATCCGTTCAAGGTTATATATTTGAAGTGGTTTTGTTGACGCCGAGATGTAGCGTCTCGTGCTTTCCTCTCAGATCCTTCCAGATTTACCAATAATCCCGAATAAAGTTGAATAAACTCCATGTTTGCCTGTGTTAACTGAGCTTTAGAGGTTGTTTGTAGTTGCACGTGTCCAGGTCAAACCAAACAGGTCATAGTTAAATTGTGAGATTGAAGGAAAATATGAGGTCTAAAGGAAATAGTAATCTGGACTGGATTACGACTGGATTATAGATTTAACGTTACAAGGACACTCGCCCGTTACAACAGCCAACAAGTAGTGTAAATATGATGACTATGATAATACCTCAGATGCATATCCACGGCAGGATACAAATAAACATTATCAATGGACACATGATGCACAGGACTCAATCCAGATGTGTTTGCAGCGAAAGGGAGTCTACGCGTGTTTTTCTTCAACTGTTCTTGTTGACAAGTGCATCGAAACTATTGATGTAGAACTATGGTGAAAGCCAATGAAGTTGAGCAGAGGCTATCACTGTTTCTAATAAATACTGTTTTCTACTTCTTTTTGAACAGCTGTTTTGAGTAGTATCATAGGTTATTTATAACCTGATTGTCAATCTAGTTTGGACAAGACACATACTCACCCTTTTAAAGTCTTTTTAACCCCCAAAGGTGCTAAAGTAATGTTAAAATGAGAACTTTTTAAAGTGTTAAATGTTTTAATTCCAAGGCATTTGTCATTTTTGTCGAGTGGAAAATCTCTTGCTCTATCATACCTTGAAGAAATCAGCCGAGTACTGTGTTTCTATAGAGGTTTAGATGTCTTCTGCTCTTGCATCACCAAGGCTCCATTTATTTGATCAAAAATACAACACATGTTTTGTAATGTTTACAAGCTTTATAATAAACACTAAACATAGCTAGGCTATTTTAGTTCCCCTCGCTCCACAACAAATCCTTTCGATTAACAGTATTTAGAAAAGAACAAGAATTAAAAATATAAGAAGCTATAGCAATATAAACGACAAGCCGAAACAAATTAATTTAGGCAAAAATGAAACCGAACCCAACGTTGGGTCTCTCTTTCGACACGAAATCAAATGTTTCCGTATTCACGATGTATTTGAATGGCAAAATATTATTTATTATGTAGCCTACTTCACTCGCATTCCAATATCCACGTAAAACAAAGTGTTTTGCATAACGGTACGGTGATAACACTTAACGGCACAGATTTTACTACATATTTAAACTGAGCAGTGTGGGTTTTTTTCCCCCCATATGTTTGACTGACTGTATTTTATTATGATAATGAACAGGCTGCATTGTCAAGGTAGCAATGCTTAACTGTGTGCGCGCTAGGGCTGTCAAAATGACTGAAAAATTCAATTAGAATTTTCCACTTAAATATTATAAAAATTCGAATTATATTCTAATTTAAAAAGGCATAAATTCAGTTAGAGGGGAAAAAAAGCTTTTGGCTTTTTGGATAAAAAAATAAATAAATTTGACGAATATTCGAAATTCGATTTTTTTTGACCGCCCTAGTGCGCGCATGCGGCGCCGGTGCATTCACTTGAATGTTTTCCTTCTAACAGTGGAAGAAACTACTCCTTTCAGTCATAAAGATAATCGGAATTGTAAAAGGTTTGCCATTATTTGTGTACATTTGCAATAAAAACAAATCTTTGTGGTTTGGTAAAAAGCCTAAAGAAAAATAGGATGCCGCTTTCTGCCGTAAAAAAAAAAAAAAAAAAAAAAAAAATATATATATATATATCCTATCTTTATTATGTTTTTCTCCACTCGCAGAAGCGCTGCAGGTGCCTGATGTGATATGATGGCCATGTGAATCCTCATGTTCTGTTGTTTACTGCTTTTTGCGCATGTAAAATGAATCCACGGGAAACAAATGTTAGTATTTTCAACGGGACACAGACACTTATCCTTTCTAATTTAATTCATAATTCTAATTTAAAATAATCTTGTCGGTTAACGGTTAATAATCTGTTAACGAGCATCGGTTGTCGGTTAGGAAAAATAACCGAAATGAACATCCCTAGTAACATTATAAATATCTTTACTGCCGAATAAAAGTATTCAGCTTTTTGTTAGGACCTCAAAGCCATCTGTTTCTTCAAATGTCTGGCAGAATTATGAAAATCATGTTGTTATTATATTAGCTACCTTGGCTTGTAAAGAGCTTGTTGTTCAGTTTTTAACAATTTTGTGCTACCCAGTAAAACTAGTGTTGACGTAAGCTGCATGAGGTTTGAATTGAAATGGCATATAAAGTTCTATCAGCTTCGTCATGTCAGACTGCTTCATTTTAGGAGCATTACAAGGCCAGTGGTCATCATCTGGAAGAAAATGTGTGATTAGTGTGCATTCTCATTAGACAAGGCACAGCCGCTAGATTCATCTGAAATACATTGACTGTAGAGTTAAGCCTGGGATAAGCTTACAGGTTGATGAACAGACGCTCATCTGAAGCTTGCACAGCTGCAGTCTGATACGGGTGATTGTTTGGCTTTCTAGTGTACTGCGTTCTTTAATGAAGATGTGAATCTGTCTTATGATTGTTTTAGCAGCCTGTGATACCTCTGGCTGTGTGATCATCTGTTAACTGCCTCCAACCTTTTCTCGAATGAATGAATTGAATTATTTCAAGCTTCAAAAGTCACTTTGACTTATGGGTTTGGGACATGTACAGACTGGAATAGTGCAACAGTAGGGTTTTTGATGTAAAAAATCCCTTTATTTCTTCAGTAAGCATTTGTAATGATGTATAATTGATTTCTGATGTCACAATTTGTCTTCAGTGTCACATGATCCTTTAGAGATCATTCTGATCTTATTTCTTACTTATTATCAATGTTGAAAACAGTTGTGCTGCCTAATATATTTGTGGTAACCATACTAAAACATTTTTTCAGGATTCTTTAATGAGTAGAAAGTTAAAAAGAACAGCATTTTGTTTAAATATAAATCTTTTGTAACATTTTAAGTGTCAAAGGTTAAGGAATGTGTGCCAGTTTAAACTTGAGAATCATTAATTACACAATAATGGTGATGTGGTTCAGCAGGTATGTCTCCGAAAGATCCACGTTCAGTTGACCCTCCAGTATTTAAACCACTTAAAATAGGCTTTAATGATCAGGGAAGGTGTCATGTGTATGCAAGCATCTAATAGTCTTTGTCAACATGGAGTTGTAATCTGTGAGATCAGCAAAACATAATCATGTTAAGCCAAGGCATTGAGAATGGGGAAGCTGTTGCTTTGCCCACCATCGCATCCTGTGATTATGAGAGGAAACGACTCCTAAAAGTTTTCTCTGTAGTGTTTAACATTTTCTGCTGGATAAGCATCTGAAAACTGCACCTGTTTTTTCAACATTAACACAGGATTTAGCTTCGCCACACCTTGTGTTAGCACAGTGTGTTGTTAAAACAGAGCTGAGTGCTTTGGCTGTGTACATTGTTCTATATGTCAATAATGTGATGCTGAGTTCTTTGAAGAACAGCTCCCATTGGACACAATGATTTTTTTTAAATATGCAAATGCATAATTCAGTCTCTTTTTCCTATTCTTCAGCATTGAATCATGGCAGACGCCAAGCCACCCTCTGACAGGCCTCAGAGGAAGATGTCCACTACAGGGGACAGTTTATACAAGGTGCTGGGATTGGAGAAAGGGGCCACAGCAGAGGACATTAAAAGAGCCTACAGGTACACTAAATGCTGTCACGTTAACTTGCAGTTATTCAGGTTTCTTTAGAAATAGTGGATGAAAAATATTTTAAACCTGTTTATAAAAACTCACCAGTGTTGCTGTCATACTGCCATTTATTGCACTGTAATTTCTAAATTTACCATTTATTTTAGCATATCAATATTATAATTTTTTCAGTTTTTATTACAGTATGCTAATTTAATACAAGTGATTTAAAAATAATATATGCAATTTTTAAATAAAAATGCTTTTTTATTTAATATTTGTTCTTATTTTGTAAAAATTAAACATCAATTGAAATTACATTTAACAAAAGTTGTTTAAATTATTTATGAATAAATTTTTTGAACATGTTTTATGTTCAGCATTGTATCATTATTATTTCTAAATCCAAACAAAAAGACTTCTCTTTACTTTTAAAGCGATAAGCGTTTGCCTTGATTCTGACAACTTTTTTCATTATATGGATATGAGATGATTAATCAAATTTTGGTTTTGTATACCATAGTTCTGCAAAATATTAAAAAAAGCATATTTCATAATTTTTTTATTTTTTTCACATTTTTGTGTGTTTTGGCTAACTATGATATACAAAATCAAATTTGATAAATAGTTTGATTCATCATTTCAAGAGAGTTGTATGTTCTGCACAAATTGTTTCTGCACAAGATACAGGACAAAATTTTGTTTTATAGAAAACTGGCTCTGAAATACCATCCAGACAAGAATCCAGACAACCCTGAAGCTGCAGAAAAGTTCAAAGAAATCAACAATGCCAACTCAATCCTCGCTGATGAGACCAAGCGCAAGATCTACGATGAATACGGTTCCATGGGGCTCTACGTGTCCGAGCAGTTTGGAGAAGAGAGTGTCAAATACTACTTCCTCATGTCAAAGTGGTGGTTCAAGGTGAGAGCTCATTTCACTAAAAACAGAGCTTTTATTTACTGTTGCATAAAAAAAAGCTGTTACCGATTGTCTCGGTGTGTTGACCTAAACTGACATTCTGAAGGGATGGTAACTTACCCAGAGAGACCGTTTTGATGAAATAAGGAATTACATAGTTTAGCTTGGCGTGAAGTTTGCCGTTTGTGAAGTATTATTGGAAAAGCAATCAAAAATAAACAGTGTTTAGTACTATAGGCACTTGGTGGAGCGTTGTTGTCTTTGAGGTGCTACATTTGAATTTTACTTTACAGATGATAGTGGCTTTTGATGCACATGTGAAAATGTTCTCAAATAAGCTTAACTGACTGGCTAGTAGCTGGATGTAGCATCTTGCAAACTTGTCCCATTGCTGTGGCATTAAACATGTGCTTTTCTGAGAGAGACGTCTCTGATCTGAGGTCTGTGTCTTTGCCGCAGGCTATGGTCATGTGCTGTGCCGTTTTCTCCTGTTGCTGCTGCTGTTGCTGCTGCTGTTTCTGCTGTGGAAAGTGCAAACCACCAGGGGAGGATGAGAACTACCAGTACGTGGACCCAGAAGACCTGGAGGCCCAGATCAAAGCAGAGCAGGATGGTGGAGGTGAGCCTTGAGTTGGTTGGGAAGGGGTGTGTGTCTGACTCTAGTAACAATCTTCTTTTAGATAGTTGACTGGTAACGTATTTCTTATTGTTTGTTGATGTCACGAGTTGTTCAAAAGACTTTTGAACTCAGGAATTGCCGGATTGAATTGCTCTGATGAATGAATTCAATGAATCTGTTGTATCAAATGAATTGATCTGTATCTGAATTGTAGAACTGCAAGTTATTACTTTCAGATATTTGTGCTTTGTGTTATTATTTATGTACACTACCAGTCAAAAGTGAAAGATGATGAAGTCATGGTCACCAAGGCTGCATTTATTTGATTATAAATAAAGTAAAAATAATATTTTGAAATAATAAAATTTAAAACAACTTTTCTCTTTTTCAATATATTTTTAAAATGTATTATTTATTTATTTGATGGCATAGCTGAATTTTCAGTAGCCATTACTCCAGTCTTCAGCGTCACATGATCTTTCAGAAATCGTTTTAATGTGCTTATTTGATGCTCAAAAAAACATTTATTGTTATCCCAGTTGGAAGATGTGCTGCCTAATATTTTTGCATTTATTTGAAAAGTCTTTTGTAAAATTATAAATGTCTTTAAGAACACTTATGATCAATATTATGGAACGATATTCCGGACAATTTTCAAAAGGAATTGCAAATTGTATTTTCAATTGCGTTTTCCATGTGTGGATGCATAAATTGTGACATAATCCAAATGCAATTGCAAATCCTGCATTACCGTTTGCATTTTCGCTTTTGCGAACGCAGAGTGACTGCCAAATTTCAAATGAAAAAGCAAAGTCCATTTGCAACTGTATTTCCCATGTCTTAGGAGTTACGAGCCTGTCATATTTAAATAGCAATTAGGGATGCACCGATATGAAAATTTTGGCCGATACCATGTCTTAGGAGTTACGAGTCTGTCATATTTAAATAGCAATATTAATTACCAGTTTGCTTTTTCACTCTCGCTGCGTCGCGCATGTAACCTGCCAAAACTCAAATGGAATCCCAATTCCTTTTGCATTTGAATTTCCGATGTCTACATGGAAAGCTGCCAATCATCGTCAGGGACAGGACTATACTATGGGGCGTGTTTGTAATAGGTCAATATTCACTATTAACCAAACACTTTTCACCTGTCTCAGAATCTCACTGTTTACACTCACTTAGACTTTTAATCCATAATATAGAGCGTGACACACCTGCCTCAAGACCTTTTGCACTCCACTTGATGCACTTAAGCAAACAGACAGTGCAAATCTACACGTATTTACCTATTTGCAACCTATATCTTATTCCTATCTAATAGCCTATGTGCACCTGCCTCAAGATCTCTCAGTCTGTTTACGATCCGATAGATGCATGTGACAAAACAGAAAATGCTGCTACTCTTACTCTGCCTGCCCCAGATGACACTTCAGCAGTCAGATCTAGGTGCAGCTGTCACGGAACACGCCACAGCCAAGGCAAGACAACATTAAAAATCACGTGCATCAATCGCGGTGTCCAGTGGCTGTAAATAGTGAGAGCTCTTGAGGCAGGCGCAACGCTTTGGTGCCACGTACGGGACGCGAACTCCATAACTGATTATAACTGGTGGAAAATAAGTATAGATTGGCACTGTGTTTAAGTGCATCAAGTGGAGTGCAAACGGTAAAAGGTCTTGAAGCAGGTGTGACATGCTCTCTATTAAGTGTAAGTGAGTGTAAACAGTGAGAGATGCTGAGACAGGTGAAAGCGTGGGGTTTATAGTGAATATTGACCTAATGTGCGTACCGTTGTGGCTCCCGCTGTTAGCAGGGGATAATCGCTACATCTGGGGTAAAAAAGACAGAATAATGTATTGTCCCAAGAAGGTTGCACTGTCTGTTCGTTCACACAGGTACGAAACTGATTGGTAGCTGCCTTTAGCGGAGCCTTTACCGATTACCTCCATTGATCAGAGCAATTCGGCACGGTCGTCTGAGAGTGACATCACCTCCCAATACAAACAGGTTACATGCGCGACGCAGCGAGAGTGAAAAAGCAAACTGGTAATTAATATTGCTATTTAAATATGACAGGCTCGTAATTCCTAAGACATGGGAAATACAGTTGCAAATGGACTTTGCTTTTTCATTTGAAATGTGGCAGTCACTGTGCGTTCGTGATGCAGGTAATGCAGGATTTGCAATTGCATTTGGATTGTCACAATTTATGCGTCCACACATGGAAAACGCAATTGAAAATACAATTTGCAATTCCTTTTGAAAATTGTCCGGAATATCGTTCCATACAATATAATGCATCATTGCTAAATAAAAGTATTTTATGTATCTGACCCCAAACATATGAACGGTAGTGGATAATTTAACCTTTTTAAATATATAAAACTCTCAGGCAGACATCATTGAAAGTAGCAACTTGCAGTTATTTAGTTAAAATAAATACACTGAATTCATTTAATATCTAGCACTGCTGGCCATATAACATCTTTATTTTACAAGGGGAGACTAGCTAGGCTTTGCTGAACTCAATGCTAAAGCCTCAGCCGCAGTTGAGACGTTGTCTAATCTCTGCTGTCTCAGTAGAGACACGTGATGTTGCTCAGGTGGCATGAACAGCAGGAACAAATTTAACAGATCAAGCAAAAACACTAAACATGCAGCTATTTATAACTCTGATTCTGTATATATAGATGTCATTGCTTTAGTTGGGTCGACCCTCTGAGGTTGCTTATTATATTTGCTCATACTTGAGGTTAGGGATTTCAACATCATAAATTAAAAAACAGATAACAAGTGTGATTGTTTCTGATGGTAAAAATGTGCTTTTCTCATACTCTCAGTCTCAAGTCCTTTAATTATGAGAGAAATATCACCGAGGACATGTTTTGTAGTCTAAAAGAAGATGGATTGCCTCAGATTCATATCAAAATGAATAGTCAGAATCACCTATCATCTTAAAATGTTGCAAAGCATTTTATATTAATAGTCCAGATCTGTATTCTGGTCTAATCTAGTGTTTGAAATGACTTGAAGGTATATGCAGTTTAACTTTGTTTAATACTGAAATGAATGACGTGTCAGAAATGACGGGACTCATTTCACTTGTCTGTCCTTGGCCATTTCCCTCAGGCATTTTGAGTGTTCAAGAGATGTATCAGTCATCAAGGACATTGGGTATTGAGCATCTCTTGTCTTCCTGATGTTAATATAGATTTTCTATTATTTATGGAGTGCAAGCACAAGGAGTTTGGTCAATTTTGTTGAGTCTAAATTTAGCCCTGGCAAATGTATGACTGTCAAGTTGAGTAGACAAGAAATACTGGCACGTTACAGGTTTTGAGCCTATAATATTCACACAACCATTTGAATGTTTGTTTAGGATTTTGTTTTATTAACATATCTTGATATTCTTAAAGACGCTGCTAACTTTGAAAAATTTGTATTTGAAAGTGTCGTCTTTTATATTTTGACAAAATATAGCCTTTGTGCAAATGTTTATACATAAAGTAAATTATACAGATATTGACCTTAATGTGTAGTAAGTGCAAACTAAGTTAATGTAAATTGTTTACATGATTGAAGCTCAATTTTAAAGGTATAAAACAATTTTTTGGCCATCTTAACAGCTGTGGAAGAATACAATGAAATCCTTCATGTGACCTGTACTATAAGATAATGGTTTCCCTTTTATTCGACAGGTGAAACAATAATTATTGTCCAGCCTATACCTATACCTAGTCCTGGTTCAGAAATCTGCAGTGAAACTATACCGGATACAAAATGACTTGTAAGACTCTGAATGTTCATTTGACAGCATGAGTCACTCCATTGTGTTTGTCTACCTGCACAAGCCTGTGTTTGTCTGTGATTCACAGCATTGTCTATATAGCCCCTAAATGACGTTTGAGTTACAGTTCTTGTCACCCAACGTCTATGATTCCACATATCGATTCGGACAGGACTAACATTACAGAGGTGGAAGGGTCTGTTTTGTATGTCTGGGCCTTGCAGTGATCTTATGCTCTGAATGCGTGCATTGCTTATAGTCATGCGGATTGATTACCATTAGTATAACCACAGTTTTACTGCAAATACCATGGTTAAGTTATATTTAGTATAGTTAATTACCATTTATTTGAGCATATCAATATTATGTTTTTATTACAGTATGCTAATTTAATACAAGTGATTAAAAAAATAATATATGCTAGGAATAAAAATAAAAATTATATGTAATTTTTGTTCTTTTATGTAAAAATTAAACAAATTGAAATTACATTTAACAAAAATTGTTTATAAATATTTATGAATAAATTTTTTTTGTGGACCATGGTTAATTTGTGGTTACCTTAGTTCAACTATAAAAATGTATGGTCCCACTTTATATTAAGTGGTCTTAACTACTATGTACTTACATCAAAAAATAAGTACAATGTACTTATTGTGTTCATAATGTATTGCAAAACACTTTTGCTGCTATTGAGTTGGGAAACGGGTAAGGTTAGGGACAGGTTTGGTGGTATGGGTAGGCTTAAGGGTGGGTTAAGGTGTAAGGGATGGGTTAATTACAGAAATTAATTACAGATGTAATTACATGCAGGTATTTTTAAAATATAAGTACAATGTAAAAAGATGTATGTACACAATACGTGCATTGTACCAAATGATTAATATAAATGTAAGTACATAGTAGTTAAGGCCACTTAATATAAAGTGGGACCAAATTTATTTATTTGTAGTAAAACAACGTTTAATTTCCGTAAAGGTACATATGTAATAAAACATTATGTAATTGAGTGCAGAAATGAAGTTGAGTAATCTTGCCTGACACTGATATTATAGTAGCAAGTCTTAACAATTTGGCTTTTGATTTTATAATTTTTTTAGTTTTTTGCCGCGAATCAAACACATGCGCACAGTAGTAAGAGCATCTACGGTTCTTCACTTTGTCCAAAACACACAAGGGAACGCGTTATGGAAAAAAAATATTGTCCGCAATCACAGACATTTGCATTAGAATGGGATTAGATTTCTCAGAGGACCACAGAGTTTGCCGAAAAACAGTAGGTAATTTTCTCTGGAATTATTACAGAGGTTGTGTGAGAGAAATACAGATATGGCAGATTTGGACAGAATTATAATCGCAATGTACATCCGTGAAACACTAATTTCTCTAACCCCCTGGAAAACTAGTCCTGTCCGAATAGGGCTTTTCATTAACATTTGGATTGCTGTGCAGCGTTTGCAATTTGTGTTTGCTCTAACAAAGACTTTGAGTTAGCTATTGGATCTGGTTTTCAGACTTTTATTAAGACCCAGCCTCTTGGCAACCTCACTGAGGCTTATTAAACGGTGCTAGTACCTTCTCGGCTCATTAAGTAGATAAAATGTTTTCCTTATTAAGGAAAGACTATGCAATGAACTGAAACCCAAAGCCAGTGACCTGCATAACAGATCTTGAGATTTCGAGTTGTGTTTGCTTTACTAGGCCCGTGCATGAACTAATGCTTTGCATCTGCGTGCTGTAGATGTCCATGTTTTGCATGTTGTCAGGCCAAGCCTTTTTCTGCCAAGTACTTTGAACCTCCTGTAGGTTTTAGAATTTGTTGACCAGGAGGTGTAAAGATACCATCTGACCCTTTAATTTATGATTGAGCCAGACCACACAGTTGAGAAGTTAATAACTTTATAATATGCAATATGTCAATAATAATAACAGAATAATTGTTAGTATTTATTATTAAAAATATAATTGTAAAATTGCATTTATGTAAAGACTTTTACATTGTTACAAAATTTATCAAGCAAGCAGCACAACCGTTTTCTACTTTGATAATAATATTGATAATAAGAAATGTTTCTTGAGCATCAGATCAGCATATTAGAATAATTTATGAAGGATCATGTGGCACTGAATAATGGCTAAAATTTTGAATGGTAGTGTATAATATATGAAATAATAAAAAACAAATACATGTATAATATTAATGAAATATTTAGTATTAGCCTTACAATGCAGTTTTAATTAGATCTTTATTTAGAATATTTAGAGAATTTAGTCTCACTAAAGAACAATCTACCAAGCAATACAAGGTAAAATCATTGTTATTTATTATTATACACCCACAAAACAACTATTATTATTATTATTATTATTATCCAGAAATAAAACCACTCACTATGTTAGAGGATGTTAGAAGGCTAGTGAGTGCGAGGATGAGTCGGCAGGAAATGGGATTTCTGTTGAGAAGGTTGCGTCAGCATGAAGCAAAGCTGTCAAAGCAGGTGCATCTCATCGATAGAAATGCAGTCAACATGAGCGGTCTCGTACAGAGGCATCGCTGGCCTGTCACACAGCCATCTGTTCAACTTTATCTCACCTCAAACCTCTATTTTACCATCCCACTTCTGTTTCGTGTCACACTTTTTCTATACCTCTCCATTATTTAAATAAGATATATATACAGATATATATATATATATATATATATATATATATATATATGAGGGCTTTTACATTTTAGTGTAATGCTAGAATGTAAAGAATAAATGCATTTAAGAAATCCTCTATTTTCATTCTTTGCTACACATGGATGCTGTCTGTTAGTGGGGCGGTGATTTGGAAGAGCTGCATCAGGGAAGGGAGGTATGTTTCTTAGTGCAAAGAGTGGCAGTGCGTCTCCAGTAGAATTGCATGTTCTGTTCTTTTGGCTATCTAATCCTCAAAAGTGATGGCTTCATGCAAATGAAAGGCAAATAGAGGCTGTGTTTATCTGCATAAACGCATGCCGCAACTTAATTCACTTCAACTTGATAGTGCTAGTAGTATATGTCTATACTATATACTACTATATATACACTAATTCATATAGTCAAGATCTGTCAAATAGAAATACTATATAATAGTATATGTCGGCTGATATTTGACCATTTTGAGATTATTGACCACTTGGATGTTGAACAGAAATTGTAGTTATCTCTTGTGGTTTTAAAAATTACCTACAATCATTCCAATGGATAATGCTAATTTTATTTTTTTTAATAATAATGTTTGTAAATTTATGTTATTAGAAGATTAAAATATAATATATAAAGCTAAAATATAATATATAAAGCTACATATTTAAAAATAATATATATTACTTGTATACTATAATTATATATTTTATTATTATAATGACATATGATGATTACTGTATTTAGTATTGGCTACTCTGATCTTGACATTGTCCAAAACTCTTATTGGTCGACCCTTGCTTTGTAGTTTTGCTAAAGCAAAAGCATCCTAATTCTGTTCTTTATTATTTTATTGTTTATTCTTCTGTCCTTTTATTATTTTTTGTAGGCTCAAATGTCCCTATTTTGATCCAGCCCAGTTCCACCCTCAACACCTCAGAGTCCACACATTTCGCAGCCAGCCAGTCCATGTACAACACCCAGAAATGAGCCACCTGCCTGGTCCTGGTCCCAGTCATTACTGAGGGGGTCCTGCTGATGGACTCTAAGGCCTCTGATGTAGTGTGCTGACCGCAGGGCATCATGGCACCAGGACTAAACTGTGCCACTGCGCCATACCCTGACTCTGACCCACTGGAATCGAGTGGCAGTTTGCCAAAAGACAAGGAAGTCTCTGCCAGTCTCACTTCATCTGTGTCTCCACTGGTGTGTATGTCTGTCTGTTCGTATATAACTACCCGTTCATTTCAAAATAATATAGCTATGAGACTGGTGCCACTGGGCATTGCTCCAGGTGGGAAGTGGGTTTTACTTTTTGGGGTGTTTCTTTTTGGTTCTGGCTATTTATTTAATTTTTTACTCTTTTTTTTTTTTATTTATTTTTTTTTTTATATATATGTTAGAAAGCATGGACATGAGTGGAATGTTCATGTGAGTGCATGCAAAGCAATAACAGCATGCCACTACTATACAGCATAGGAACATGTGCAAAAACCCCTCCCACTTATCTTCATCCAAATGCGGAGCCACAACATGGCACCTTTCTTTTAGTTTGCTTCTTTAGATGGCAGTGTTTTCCATTCTCAAGTTTGCAGTCATCTGTTACATTTGCATTAAACTGCATATCGTTTAAGATCGAAATGGTCAATCGTACGCAAATGACAAGACCGCTGTGTAACAACTTTTTCTTACCAAAGTTAAGGCAGATGCCTCAAATGTCAGCTGATGTGCCATGCTTGGTATTCCAAGCCATGTGCAATGGTCATACATTTCCCTAAAATCAGAACACTTGAATATGCTGGTGAAAGTTGTTTTTTTTCTATGCACTTTTTCCCCCACTACCTTCATAGGAGGCTTCTAATGCAAATCTAATGGCTTCAACCCTTACAACTACTACTCAACTGCGTAAAAAATCTGTAAATGTGACATTTTAATTTGTTTAAAGGGGCTGAGATGGGATCAACCCTGTTTTTGGTGAACGCTATGCCAAATCATCGAGCAAACCTATGCTTTCTTTGTGCTCTTTGGACATATGACAAAACGAAAATATTTTTAATGATCTTATTTATTTTTAATATATCAGAATTGAGATTAATGTGTATGACATGTTCTGAGTGAAACGATGCACTGTGTAAACTTGATTTCAAAACTTGGATCTGCAAGCCTCATGATTTTAGCAGTAAGGAAATGCCCATCATGTTAAATGTGAAGGACTCAAAAATAGTCAGCCAGTTACTGTTAGAAACACTACATTAGAGTCGGTACATTAGATGCCAAATGTTTTCCCTATAAATTGTTGTTCTGAATGCAATAGTATATACTTGGATTGTACACCATTTTGTTTCTATGTGCAAATAGAAATGTATGTAATAATTTCAAGTAGTGTATGGTCATCTGTATCTTCTGGTTGTCATTTTGGGGGGCATTTTCTTATAGCCAAGAATGGATATTGCTTTCAGAGAATAAACTTGCCAAAAGAAAGAGATAAAGGCAGACATTTATTAGAAAGCATTGGGATATAATCTGCCACGCTCACTGGATCACTTGATTTCAATGCACAAAGCATATTTCTGCAGTCAACAACTTAATTTTTTGGTGCGTTTTTGGGGTTCAAATGATAATTATGATTTTAAAGAATTTGAGAGTTTTTGGCCTCTTCACCAGTGTACATATTAAGTTTTATGATGCTGTGTGTAATAACCTGTTTGATGAGGGGGGGAAAGCCAAGTTTGGTCTGAATCTGGTCTGAATTTACCAACGGCCAAAAACGAGCCAAGAACCACAGCACTACATCACTATTTTCCTCCTGTTTTTATTCAACATGGTTCGTAATGCATCACATATTTCATTGTCTGTTTATATTATTGAATCTGACTTCATTAAATAAATGGGGATTTGTACAATTTTGCATTTGAGTGATTCTTATTGTGATTGTTACTTCTATTGCATGAAGGTTACATTAATGTACATTACTTACATGTACATGTTATATTAATTACATGTATGCCCATGTTGTCATAATTTTCAAGTTTTCATTTTTTAATTAGTACTATTTGTCTATGTTTGGAAATGAATGGTAGCTCAGGCCTATTATCGTTAACATCACACTGCAGCTTCCATGTGCTAAAGTTGTACCCACCCATAAGCTTGTAATCAGCTTAGCGTACAACTCCATACACTCATTAACAGCCCTGTTAACATACTTAATAGGAAGTGCACAGTCAGATTTAACAAAGGTGATGGTCATGTTGAAAGGTTTGGTTCCGGTGTGTGATGACCGCTGCAGTCTAATTGCTTTGCCAAGAGTGGGTCAGAAATGATTTGCCAAATTTCCTGGACGTTTGGGGAAGGTCTGGTTGTTCAAGCAATAAAGTATAAGAGCCCATGCTAATTTGTGAATAGAGTCAGCATGCAACTGCGTTATCAAAGGCTATATTCACAATACAGCATGACCTGGAGTGCTTTTTTTAAAAACAGTTTCTACATCAATATTAAAGGGGTAGTTCACCCCAAAATAAAAAGTTTTATGTAATTTCAAACCTTTATGAATTTCTTTCTTCTGTGGAACACAAAAGAAGAAAATTTGAAGAATGTTTGTAACCTAAAAGCAAAAAATCTGCATCGTCACGTTTTATAATAATTTATGAAATAAAATCTTGGGACAGTCAACAGTAACAATGAAAACTGGAAGAAGAAAAAAAGCTTTTCTAAGAATTCACCAACAGATTTGAATTTACACATTTGATGTCACACTTTCTATGAAGCCTAAAATAAAAAGTTTTATGTAATTTCAAACCTTTATGAATTTCTTTCTTCTGTGGAACACAAAAGAAGAAAATTTGAAGAATGTTTGTAACCTAAAAGCAAAAAATCTGCATCGTCACGTTTTATAATAATTTATGAAATAAAATCTTGGGACAGTCAACAGTAACAATGAAAACTGGAAGAAGAAAAAAAGCTTTTCTAAGAATTCACCAACTGATTTGAATTTACACATTTGATGTCACACTTTCTATGAAGCCTATATTTATAATACATTATAAGCGTATTCTTAAGGCATTATAATGAATGCATAATGCATTATAAAAACCCTTATAATATGTTATATCTTATGAATATTCTTAAGAACAGTTTTAATGTTTTGTAATATTTATTTGTGGTTATAGTTTTTAAGAGTATGATGATTTATAACACACAGTGAACATGTTGCATCCACTTAAGTTAGAATGGATTATATTTCTCATAGTTATAATGTATTATAAGTCTCATATCTTGCCATCTTTCTTATGCTACTTAAAGCCATCAAAGACCACTTATAAGTATAGTAATAATCATATTTTTTTCTCTCAAACAGCCATAAGATCAGATATCAGATCAGATGAATGTGTAATAAGACATATTTGCTTTGAACTATTTTTAATGTAATATCAGTTTGATTATTTTGACGGTTCCCCAACAGACAAACTGACTATAAGTAACTTTGCAAGTACGTCAACATTCTACTAACCTTAACCTAAGCCTACTAATACTCTAATGAGAGTTAGTTGACAGTTATAGACTATAGGGGGACCATGAAAATAAAATGTTACCTAACATATAAACATTGCATTTTTTTTTTCAGTTGAAATTAACTAGCTCACATCAAAATTAATAATATTAGCCTCACAGGGAACACTCAAATAACACTCCACACCTAACCACTTACAAGATGTAGTAAGATACTGTGCAGATCTTAAATAAACAATGTCAAGACATACAGTCCATTATACATGCAAAAGTCGATTTAATATGGTGTTCATTGTGTGTTATAAATAATCATAATCTTAA